CAGCAACGTTTATGGGGTTTGTGAGGACATGGCCTTCATGAGGAGAGAGGCTTTATGCAGAGAGATCTTTTAGGATGAGAGCTGCATCATGAGGTGTATGGGGTGTATGAGGACAGTGCTTTTATGACATTTATGGTGTTTATGAGGACAGAGCCTTTATGAGGTTTATGGCATTTATGAGAACATCTCTTTTATGAGATGTCAGCCCCAGGAGGAGGTTTATGGGCCTTATGAGCACAGGGGCCTTATGAGGCCTGCACCATCCTGAGTTGTGTGAGGGCTATGAGGACAGTGCCTTTATGAGGCTGCCCCGTTGTGAGGTGGATGGGGTTTATGAGGAGAGAGACTTTATGAGGAGAGCCTCTTATGGGGTGGATGGGCTTACGAGGAGAGAACCATTATGACCGGTAAGGGTGTTATGAAGACAGAGTTTTCATGCTGAGAGCTCTTTTATGAGGTGTTTGGGCTCTATGAGGCCTGCACCATTGTGAGGTTTATGGGCTTCATGAGGGCAGTGTCTTTATGGGGCCTGCACTATTATGAGGTGGGTGGGGTTTATGAAGACAGAGCTTTTAGGATGTTTATGAGGTTTATGAGGACAAGGCCTTTATGATGGGAGCCCCTGATGAGGTTTATGGGCTTTATGAGGACAATACCTTTATAGGGCTTGCACCATTATGAGGTGAAGGAGCTTTATGATGCTGGAGCCTTTAGGAGGTTTCTGGCATTACTGAGGTCATCGGCTTTTTAATGAGAGCCCCATGGCGAGGGGTATTGGCTTTGTAAGGCCAGTGCTTTTATAAGGCCTGCACCATTCTGAGGTGGATGGGGTGTACGTGGACAGACACCTTCTAGGCCTGCCCCATTGTCAGGTAGATGGGGTTTATGAGGACAAGGCCTTTATGATGAGAACCTCTTAGGAGGTTTGTGGATTCTCTGGATGCAACCTGGCAAAAAGAGAGAGGCTGGAAAGAAAGGGTGAAACAGTGGTGTGATGGTTTTAGTCTAGGCCTTCCTGGTGACCAGTTTGTAACCAAGGAAGTAGCCAAGTACCCAGTATTCCATCCAATTTTTACATAAACCAGAGTATAAATAAGTCGGAGATCAGAGACCTCGCTCTCTCTGCTCTTCCGGCGAGGTTTGGGAACAGTGGGTCCCTGCGTTGGTCTCGCTTATCTAAGGCTGAGGCCTGCAGAGTCCACCGTCCTGCCACGTGGAGGTTTGGAGTGTGCTGGCTGTGACTGCCGATCCTGCTGTTCTAAGGGACGTGGTGAGATCTGTTTTGTTAGTTATTAGTATAGTTTGATCTAGTATACCTGTTCGGTGTCCCTTTTGTTCCCTTTCGTCCCCTTTT